TTGACGTATGCGAATGATTTTTAATGCCTGCGTGTAAAATATTGCTGGCGAGATTTATTTGGGAATCTTTTTTTTTCAAGGATTGTGAACGTTTACTAAACAACTTGTTTACGATTCTTACTTATTGATGTTTCTTTAATTTTGTTATCGAAACGTATTTACATTGCTTACGTATTTGAGGCGGATCAGTTTAGCTCGCTAAAAGGTCCAATAAGTGGACTCTGATGTAATTGAGGTAGTCAGCGTCACTGGGAGTCAGAGCCAGACGCAGACAGTACTCTCGCGTAACACTAGCGGGTTAGAGAACCTAAGTCGCGAAGCTTTTTAACTAAATTCTTTTTCGGAATATTTCCAAATTGCTGTTATGAATAAGTCATATATTAACATATTTATGGTCTGAGCAAACAAAAGGCGAAGAGTCAGCTCGAGAACAAAACCGAGCAAAGGGTTTTATTGAGCCGGCTTTATGGGCGCAATATTCAGTAGGAGCAGTTCTGTTTGAGCGATATTTATGGCTGTTTTTGTGAACAGGCTGAGTGTTAGTACTCACAGGTGCGCGTAAACGGATTCCTTCATTACGCGCTTGTAAACTGGCCGCAGCACGTGACCTGCACTGAGAAGACACTATACATAATAATTATAAAGTACGCATCGGACCACCGACTACTTCAGAAGCCGTTCATCAGCTATCGATTCTTTAAAGTAAAAAACAAACGAAAAAAACTCCACCTGCCGGCCGGAGTATAAAAAACGTTATTAAATAGGAGGCGACCTAACTAAATTACAAAATTCAACCTTTACGCATTATGGAATAATTTACCATTGAATATTGCACGCGATTATAAATCGTACGACGAAGATGACAAGCGTCATAATCGCGGGACGCGACGTGATTTATTATAAGCGAGCAAGATCGATCGACGGCATCTTAGGTAGCGTCGCAGTGCTTTATTTTATCTCATAAATAGATTTTTTATAACAAATTACAGGGTACCACGTTTGGTAGCGATTTTGGAGCCGCGTGCGCTCCGCCGCGCACTGCCGCGTCGCATCGCGCTCTGCCGCAATTGCTATCTGAGCTCTAAACTGTGACAGATAGAGTTTAATTTTCATTAATACATTATAAATAAATCTATTGATTATGAATTTTGTTGGTTCCGTTCATATTTTTTACGATCAGGTAGCGAAGGCATCTCAGGACGAACGGTATTTTGGCACACGCGCTTACTAAATCGATAAAAAAAAACTCCAACAGTCGTCCACTGCTCCGTGTCCTGAGAAGTTTAGAGAAGACCACAAAAGGATTTAGAAAAAGGCATTTATTCAATTACAACGACAATGCAGTGTTTCGCCTGAAAGTGCACAAAGGGACGGATGATAAAAGCAGGTATACCTTTATGAATAGAGAGAACGACAATTGCTCTCGGACAAAGATTTTTAGGGCGAGTCAAAAGTTATGCCAGAGATGGTCGCTCGGTTTACGACCGCCTCGACACTGCGATAGTAACATCTGCTTTCTTTTCATTTATTGTGACATTAATGTATCTATAGAATTGTCCCTTACCAAGTAGAAATAATTAACAAAGCCAAGACGAGACGGTAATTACACGACATAGACAATAATGGAACTATAAAATATCTTTGTGTGAAGTGTTTTTTTCTCCAGAACTTACTCCACGGTCACTTCACTCTTTACCAATAAAAAATAATCCTTTTGGCAAACGTAAACATAGAAATTGTTCAAAGGATTTACATGTTACCTATTAATATAAATTATCAGAATATTGACACTAAAGTAATTCACATAGAAGAAGCTTCAATTTTCAAGTCTTATTTCAATAATTTTGTTTCTTTACTTGTCTTAACGATATCATTAGCCGTAGTATCTACCAGATTCATTTCTCTTAAATAGTAAATAACAACAAATAAAGCTGCATGGGGTCTATGACTTAAGTTTTAGAGCGTGTCCTCTCTACCCATTATTCAATCTATACAATTTCATCAATTAAAAATGGCTTCTGCCTCGTTTGCCGTACGATGGTTAGTTACAAACTCCACTATTACTTCCTAGTCTCGTTTAAAAATGAAAAGATGATTTAAAACTAATCTATGTCAGATAACTAGATGAAAAACTGCGTTTATCGTATGTTAGCCACAATGTGCTATTGGGGCAAACTCTCCAAAGTTATATATAATATATTTGAGCGCGTGGGAACAAAGTACTGAGCAGTTACATCGAAATTGGTGGTTACCAAGACGATATCGGTGGAACGTAGCTTATTAGCATTTAATTCGTGGTGTCCAAAAGTGGGGGCTCCGAAGTGGGGGCTCCATGGGTCGCTGGCCTCACAAACGAGGCACTTCCTCGCCCGCGGGCACGTTGGGGGCAGGGCGCGGGGAGGGACATGTGTTTATGTAACTTACAAACGCCATCATTGATCTATTATAAGACTGCGTGATTGTGTACATAGCCATTTGGTGATCACGTTTTTTATGTTATTTATCATGTACCCTTGCTTCTTTTGGTTTCATTATCGTGTAATCTATTAAAAATTACATTTTACAACTGGTGCTTTATTGTCTTTAGTTAAAAGTATTTCGAAGACTTAGAATTGGCAAATTGAATACCCATACAGTCCATACAAGCACAGCGCTACTGTCCTACTGTACTGGCGTAATTTAAACCAGACTGTATTCTCAAGTTGTTTCATATATTTTATAAATTTATACAGAATACTGAGTGGTATTCTGTTGTCTAAAGTAATCGGTTTTAAGGTCGCAAGTCGCGCTCCCTGGCTGCGGCCGCGAGGAAACATGGCGACGAATTTATAAAAACCTGTTACTTGTCGAATGGTTTTATTGCCCTCTAATACGAACCAAAGATGGTCTATAAATATTAGATACGTCTTCCGTATTTGCATATCTATTTTGTTCATTCATCAAACGTTTTTTTGAACACAAAGTAAAGCAACAGTCTTATTTTGCTGATAATAGTCTTAGTTTCATCTTTTTATATATGTAGAAATATAATTTGCTGGAATTATTACAAAATATAATAAGATTCAAAACATATAGCGTTAATTTTTAATTCTTCTTATAGTACATAATAAAGTAAAAATATGTTAAAATAAGAAGTAAGTTCTCAAATATATATTTATTAAAGTAGAAACTATCAAGGCTTGGTTAGAATCTATAAAGTAATCGAGTCATTAAAGTCTCAGAGATCTTAATCTACTCTTTACATTTAACTGTGAGGCATTCGTTAAAAGGCACGAGCCGGTGAATAAATTTACGTCTTATTGTAATGCGGTAAGGTGTTAATTTGATTAACGTTCTATTGCAGTTGGTGCAGCATTTGACAAGTTACAATGGCGAGTGGAACCGGTATTATCAACTTGTACGGCTTTACGCAAAACATGTCATTACACTTTTTTAATTAATGTAACAAAGTACGCAATAACCACTTTATGTAGATCCATACATTCACACAGATAAGCAAGGGATGAAGACATGTTTTTATTGGTTTATTGTTAGAAACCAGATCAGACAGTTAGACGCCTTGTGTATGCCCATGTAAATAAAAACTTGTCAACTTCTTCCTGTAATTTTAAATATAAAAAATAAACATGTAAAATAACCTAACTTGATTGTTTAGTTAAACTTTAACCTTTATTTCTATTTAGCAAAGAGTAATAATAAAACAACAGACACGTAACTACTAATCATTACAAGGATATTTGTAAGATTGTCTTGTCTATGAATAGATCGCAAATTGAATCCTATAATGAAACAGAAGCTTTAAACCTAAATGTTAACTGAGTTTAAATATCAAACAATGATATATTAAATCTCATCCTACAATTTAGAGACATCTTTACCTCTATTGTTTAAGTTTCATGTTCTCTGCGAGCTCAGTTCTTTTTCTGTCTTGTACAATAATAACTTAGACCAGTAACCCAGAGGGGTAAGCAGACACCACGGACCTCCACTTAGCGAGGTCCTGACACATCTATCACGTCTTCAGTTTCGTGGTCATAAATCATCAATATACGTTCCTAACCGTTTTATAATATTTTACAATAATAATGTTTGCCTGCTCTGCTCGTCACTCGTTTACAAAACTTTTCTATAAAAAACTATTCAAAGTTCAGATTACACTTTAAAACACCTTCTTATTTAGTTCAGCTGTCTTTGTCTATTCAACATTAAAACAAATTAGTTTTGATGTAGGCACATAGTCCTACCCTATTATTTTTTATTTATAATTATAAGGTTTGAAGTCTGATTAAAATCGTTATTAATTTGAAATTTATTTTTTAATACAACCTTTATTAACATCGAAGGCGTGATGTAGTCATGTGCAGCATACAAACTAGTCCCGGGTTCGTGCTTGGCGCGGCAGGTCGCTGGGCCGAGGTGGTAACTAATATCTATTAAAAACCCGGCCGCCTTGCATAAGGCTCGTGATGGTATCGCATTTCCGGTCAAACTAGGTTCAAATGTCGAAAAAACTTACTCTGTTGCCGGCAAAGACTATGGAATAAAGAAAAACAAACTTTAACTTTTAATTTTCTAAGGTTTATAAATACTTAGCAGCCTGTCTTATTATAGTAAAATCTTCAACAGTGCACGTGGTGGTGCTGTATGTTAACTTACTCTATGTACAGCGCGACAGTGCTGCCGCCTACGGCCGTATTCTGCTGCTCTACCACTGATTAACGCGACTACACTTTATGGATTACTAATTAATATATTTCTTACCACAATACTCTTATGTAATATTTATTTACCATTAAATGATATGGCTATATTTTTGACGTGAGTTTGTTGTCAGTGTTCGATATTTTAGTCTATGATATTTCATGACAAAAACAATGAAATGTCGCTGATTTGATTTATAAGAATCGCGAATATGCACACTGGGCAAATGTATTTTTTTTTTCAGAAATTGTTTTTGTCATATTTTTCACAATTTAATTGCAATATTTCTCTGTCCACAGATACGCCAAGAAAAACCTTATTACATAGCGGACCCCGAGGTCGACTCATTAGTAAGTATCCGACGATTTTATATCCCCTAAGATAAATAAAGTGGGTCCCAGTTTAATGCTCCATAAAATAGTTAACATTTTATACTTCACATCTCTGGTTAATTTACGATTTGATTAGCTCCGCTCCGGGGCGAGCAGGTAACGTTCCGGGAACGACAAAAATGAAGATTAAAAAATGTCCATAGTGTAGTGTCACTCATAAAGAGACGGAATCGCGCCGTCCCCCGCTGCTAGCGGCTAGCGGCTAGCGGCTAGCGGCAAGCAACTCGCGGGGAAAAAAAGCGAAATAATAAAAATAAGACGAGACGATGGCGGCCACCCACCGCCGCTATTCGACACGGGTACTTAACCGATTTTTAACAAATAAAATCTAAGGCATTACGAATCAGGCGCAGGCGGGGCGCGGGCGGTCGTGAGGCAATGCGCTCCGCTCTACCATAAAACGACATTGTTCTTGCTCATAGTACACGGAACTGTCTTTTAGTATCATCTTAAAGATTTCCTGGAAGGTCAGCTGTTTTGTATAGCATTCAAAAGACAACTTAGTCAAACCAATCTCAGTATTGTAGTTTCAAACATTGACAACTAGCATTGTTGTATTATTAACAAATAGCACGACGCGTTATCCGATACTAATAATAGTCAAAACAAACAAGGCAATAACGATAATTAACATAAATCAAAAGCGACGGCAACGAGGTAGGAACGGTAGCGGCCCGTGACGCCATAAACCAACCTCTTACCTGCCGCCTGGTGGCTGCCTGCGGGCCTGATAAGCCCAGCCTGCCTGCGTCACAGATAACAGACACACACAACATCCGGCCTCAGCAAACTTGTACACACATAAGTAAATTAAGTTGGTGTTTTTGTAGCAGCGACATGTGTTTGCGACTGTACCATGTGTGTCTACACCCTTACACTCTGTCACCAATAACACTGACGACATTTTACATTTTTTAATCATCGGAAATTAATCTGTTATCAATTCCACTAACTGCAGTCTTTTCAGACTGGTTGTGGTCATCAGATATCGGTGACTCGTTTCACGAGTCCGCCGCCACTCCTCCCTAATCCCTGCCTAATTGCAAGATTATTATTGTATTGAATAATCGATTTCTACAGAATTTGATACAATCTACTTTACAGCAATTACCTTATTCTTTGATGATCTGTACACAGCAATGGTAATCCACTCTTAATTTAATTCGTCTTCCCCATAATTAGTCTCACATGTTAGAGCGGGCGGACAGTCTTTAGAAATATTACTCATTATATCTTCAGCTGCTATTATGATTTCAATGGATCCTTTGAAAAGACACCTCGCGAGCAATTCCTTTGCATTATTGTGTTACAAATGATATGTCTGTCTAGTTGTGGGTAATTATAAAGTTTTGTGTGCAAATGTTAGATTGTTTCGGTACTTAAGTAACTTTGAAGTGTGGTTCGTGGTTGTTGTTTTTCTGTATTGAATGTTTGTGTTTAAGGACATTAGTAGAAAGGGCATGAATGAGCGTCATTATATTGTAACAAGGTCCGCGTGTTACGTCATTCCAACCTCAAGTGACCGTTGACAGCCACTAGGCTTGTTTGTTTGTCGTTTTGTTCGGTTACAATTAACTCGCTAAGGCAATAAACTTGTAACGCACTCAATTAGTTTAAATTCGATATGGTTATTTAAACTTTAAAGCCTTTAACTATTTGAAGTTTATGTAAAATATTTGATATTGATTACTTCTATTGTTATATTTTGTTTTTACTTTATGTAAATAGTTAAAACTCGACTGCACAGGAATGTGATACAAACGCACACACATTATTGTAGAAGCACACTTTTTGTAGTCACATCGTCGCGTCGCCTCCTACAAGTTATCAAATATCAACAAAGGAGAGTTTAAGTTTTTTAATGCATTAAACTAATATTGTAAGTTCGGCGCGGCCGCAGGATTTGTTACGGCGACTAGGGTGACTATACAGTTATCAGGATTAAGTCCGAATTAAATTTTCGTAAAACCTAAAACGCACATATTTTCATCTCTATATTAAAATGCTGGGAATTAAAAACAAAACATTAGTTTCTTATCATTGAATTATCTAGTCATTTTATCTATTGATTTTTGATGAAGATTGTCTCACTATTAGTTTACTTGGTTATAAATTCTCTCTTACATATTAACTTTCTTATAAAATATTGATCATTTTTTCTAGTATTTTTCTTTGAACATTCTAACGTGATATTTGTAGTATCCTTGAAAGTAGACTTTATGTTCACCCTATTTTGGTATCGCGTTGGTTAGCAGGCTATTTGAACTTGTCACATCTGTGTTTGTAATGTCAGCTGAGCCCGCACAGACATACAGACATACGAACAGACAGACTCCCGGCTCCAAAGCAAACAAGCTCCCACCTACTAGTAACATTTGTGTTAATATATTTATATCAATATTAATTTTATACGAGCTCTTTATGATTTCATCTTTTATTATTCGAATTACTACAAATAGATTCTACTATATTTAGGACCTAAGTTTTGAGGTTAAGTACTTTTGATACGAAAATATGAAGTGTGAATTAAAAGTTAGCAACATAAAAAAAACATATGAAAAGAATTAGTAAAAAAATATGAGTAATTTAATTTAGATCCAACAATTATTAAAAGATCATTAAGCCGTAGTAAATCATCTTGTATTATTTAAATGTAGAGATTTTACAAGAAAACCGTTGAATCACTTTAACGTGAGGTCAAGGGCTCTTTTGAGCGTGTCATTTATGTTGTCACACAGTGTACAAACGACGGTAGCTTGTTTAAGTTGCACGGGGTCTTAAACTGAACAAATAGAGGCCGCGTGGCCGTCAGCGGAGCCCCGCGCTGCGCCCCGCACGCCTCGGGCAAACACGCGGCTATCTGGCAGCGCCCGCGCCCTGCCTGCGCAAATACACGGGGGTGGCTGCGGGCACATTCCTTTAATTGATATTGCACCCAGCTCTTTACATTCATGGCGCCCTGGTATATAATTTTATTAAATTTCATACAAATGTTAGGAACACTTTAATTTAGGCTAGCTTACATCTTTAACATTTTACATCATTTATTGGTGAAAATATGTATTTAAAATGCATCTGCTTTTTAAATAACGAATTTAAAATCGCAATGAGGTCGCTGAAGGCACCGCAGCGGCTGGCCGGGCGGCGCGGGCGCGGTGCGGTGAGGGCTACGCGGCCGGCAATCAGAAACAAATCAAGGAGCTATTAAAACGGCATTAAGTTCCAACATTTAGATATGTATCGATTAAAAAAGTCGCTGAACATTCTTAAAAGTAAATCGAATGCAAAACTGAAATACAGCGGACTGGCGTAGCAACAGCATTTTATGACACACATTTACTGTAGGACTAATTTTAAAAGTAAACAATAAGGTTCTTAAGACCAAAATTAATTATTAGTACAGCGTTGTTTAGTTCAATATAAGCGATACATGTAACAATGGAGGCTGCACATCTCTACAGCAGTGAGATACGCTTTGTGCGCATTGTAGCGGGCAGTTTGTGCACCTCGCAGCCCTCTGCAGGCCGGGGACAATCGCTCGCTAAGCTATTGCTCTTTTGAATCAGCCCGATTAGACTTGTTTTGAATAGGTCAACTAAATTGCCTGCTACTAACCGATATTGATTTTCAATTTAAAATCAAAGTAATATAAATTGTAAGCAGTAAATATCTTTTAGACGAAAATGAGGGACAAAACAGTTATTTTGAGTTAATTCGATGAAATTCTGAGATCACAATGATATTTTTGATGTGCTTAACTACACTTACTTGACTGACAATTGTGTTTGTTTTCAGATGGTGCAAGCGATACAAGTACTACGGTTTCATCTATTAGAATTAGAAAAAGTAAGTAAATTCATTGTTTATAATAATGGGAATACATTGAGAGTCGGCGCGGGTTTGCGGAACCGGTCTCCGTCGTATTTGCCGCTATAATATCGTTGCGATCATCCGAGCGGCGGACTCGGGCCGGGATGTCGGGAGCGCGGCGCACGCGCTCACGGGACGACACGCAGCGGCCGCGGAAACCGAGCTGGCAGTCAGCTGTGCTGGACGAAACAATACGGCGCCGAGAGCTGCCGGCTCGCAGCTGGCGGGGCACTGCGCCGGACCGGTCCTGCTGCTTGCTTTCGCCGAATTCCTCCAGTCATCGATAGTTAACGGTACCGCCGCGGGTCCCCTTGCTGTCCGACCCCGTCCCTGCCCTCGCCCCGGCGACCTGCAACCATTCGCGTCATGTTAATTAGAAAGAATAAAAATTCAAATCTCAGTCCACATACGCATGGCGGCCGATGAATTCCACTTGTCAATATTATGGTCACGTTTCGACGAAACTAGTTCCACTAACGTCTGTATCGAAACGAACGATCTCGAGAAACGAGATCCGCGGCTCTCGGCGGCTCGCGGCCGGCGGCTGGCGGCGGGCGCAACGGATTCCATAAAATATCCGGCGCCATTGATCTACTGCGTGCGAGGGGCCGGCGGATTCGTTAAAAACCGTACGCGCGTCCACACAAAAAGTCTCCGTAACGAGATAACCGGTAACGCGACACCGCACTACGAATCGCCGCCGCTGACGATAAAGGCAGGTTCAAAAAGAAAAACAATATCACGCGTTCCGAATTTACAAATATCCGGACGCGAGAGCAAATTCCATTTTTAAATTTTCGATAGTCAAAACCGATTTCTGTAATTTTTTATCGATTTAATCACAAGACACTAGAAGGATTAACCACTACATACGATTGCATAATAACGTTCTAAAAAAGCATCGACTTGTATAACTATCGCAAACTTTAGTCAAGAATCGATTTTTATGAAGGAATGTTTTTTGTATTATTTGATTAGCAACTAGATGCGTCAATAACTGCGTACCACGTACCTCTCTATGTGTTCGAAAAAGACGTTTTTTTTGTGTTACTTGCTCATATCCTATCCTATACATGTCAGCTCCTATCTCGTCTACGCTTTTTGTCGAACGAAATCGAAGAAAAAAGATTCCGTTAGTCGAATCCATTTCCGCTCGAGTGCGCGACGCGACGTCCACAGGTGATGTTTTTAAAAGCTTTAAATAATTAAAAATGAAGTAAAAAAAATCCACCGCCCGCTCACAATGAGACCTTGTTAAGGTTTTGTTGTCTTTTGTTGTCGTACTTATTGTGATTTGGATGCGATTTCCAATCGGCACAATGACGCCATCTGTGCATTGTTTATTTCAATGAAGTTAAAATAATGACATGCATAGCGGGACCCTATGATGATGAGTTTCTGAAGATCTGTATATTAAAATATCCAATAACATTTTTGATTTATGCTTTTAATATTTTAAATGTAGCCGAGGGCACCGCGGGTCGGCCGCGGCGGGATGTGCGATTGGTCCTGACTTGTATCTCGTTTTTTGTGAGCAACGAAGCCTTGAACGTTCCCCTAATTACCTGCGGAGGTGGGACCTCAAATCAAATGTGGAATTCGTTAGAAGACTTATTGCTCGTTTTACTGACAATGTTAATCAGCGAACGCTTCATCGGATTCTATTTTTTTTAAATATAATAATAACATAAGACAGATTTATCCACAAGAAGTAAAGCGTTCGGTATTTAAAGAAGTCGATAATAAAATAGTGTTTAGGTGTAATTGCGGTGCGATGCGGTGCGGTGGTATATTTAATGGCCACTGTAAAGTTGCAGCCAAAATAAAAACCTGTCCGCTTCCTTTTTTGTTTCATATTTTGTTTCTAACTCGTAAACGTTATCTGTAACAACGTGACTAAGTGATTTACGAGCCGGGTCAGATTTGTTAGTTTACGGGCCGAGCCTCGAACCTGGCCTTTACGACCGCGCGACCGCTTTTACAATATGCACGACAACCGCACGGGGCTCCCTCTACCGTTTTAATTTCGGAACTATTCACACGTTTAATTGGTCAATATTAATTAATTTGCGGAATGTGGCAACGCACAGCGCCGGCATATAAAGCTATCGGTGCGAATCAAATCGTCCGCTGTGCGAGCGCGGACCGGTCTTTAATTATTTGTATTGATTATAACTGCTTTTTGACTCGCGATCATAAAAAATTTGAAGAAACATACAACATATAGTATGTGATAAAACCGTTAACCGCAGTAGTTAGTTGACAAACCGCAGTGGTCCTGCAGCGCGAACTGTGAAGTGAAGCACAACATAACACGGACGGTAAAGTCGCAATCCCGTAATTAACGACCATCACCGTCCAATAAAATATTTGTTTATATGAGTTTTCATTTACATCTCCCCGATTGTATCTCACTAATAATGCACTCGCAGTAATGGAGGCCGATGTCGTAACGTCCATCGCCGCAGATAACAAATTCTTTATAACGCTCAAAACACAGATAATAAAACTCGAATAAAAAAGTTAAAACATTTCGAATTTCGAAGCGAATTTGCGTTCTGAATTTGAAATGTTTTTTTGTTGTCGAGACGCGAACCTATCAATCCGAGAAACAAGATATCAAAGATGTTTTGAGCGGGTTTATTTATGCGCTACTTACGGCTATTACTAGGCGGCCGAATAAAAATTAATTTAGCAACGCTTACAAACGCGCAGCGCCCACTTGGCCGCGGCGTCGGCGCGGAAAAAAACTCCTTTTAGATGAGACGCGAGCGCGGCCGCGGCACACATTGCGAGATCTTATCCTTGCTCACTGGCCACTACCCACGCTACTGCCACCGTTAGACCTCTTTTAAAAAACTTTAAAAATAATCCGCGTGCGTAGTCGTAGTATGTTTGGGCAATGCTCGAGCAAAACGCAAACCAATTGCGTATCTTCTCGTTTCATTTACGTTTAGAATTGTTGTTTGAACAAGTATTTGTTTTATTTTAGAATGTCCCATTTGCGATATCTTAGCATCTACAAATGTATCAGATCTTTTGATAAATAAGAATTGTTTCCAATGTTTTCTACATTGATTTATCATTGCAAACTGATAAGAAACATAAATCCAATTTGAATTTTATATCTCGCTAATAAAACGAATTGGTTATACCAATTAAATGTGAATAAACCGGATACAACAATATTTAATTACAAATTGAAGAAAAAAGATTTATCTGGAAACACGCCATAATTTAATCTCGTTTCCAAATGTTACATTTCTGGAAAAAGTTCGATCTTCCAAAAGATTATTATCGGACCGAACTCGACTCTGGAATGCCGGAATTATCTCATTAAAGACACCGCTTATACTCAACAACGTCGTATCGGAGATGTTATACCACAGACAAATATAATTCTTTACTGAATACACTTAAGAGTCACATTCGGATCACAGCAGCCAGGTTAAAATTTGAATTTTCGTTTCGAGTTAGTATGTCAAATCTTAGCTGATGTCACTAAATGGTTACTACTAAGTTGTGTGGGATCAGCGGCCACTCGCCAGCTCACCACGCGCGCTTGCTCCGTCATTCTGTGAGCTTATGAAAGCGCTCTCAATCATAATTTGACATTGACAGCGCGGCGGGGAGCGGGGAGCGGGGACGAGAGGCCGGCTCATCCTCTCTAGTGTCCATAAAATTCACGTGGCAATAAATATGAATTTCAACGATGGGTTGTAAAAGTTCAAATTATGATAAACAAACTACGGCATTCGGTCGCGAGATCGTCTTTTAACGGGACGATGCGTGTAATTTGGAAAAGCTGTCGATTAGGAAATTAGTGTACCGAAGACGTAATCGGCTGTCGGCGCTAGGGGGCGCCGTTTCCGCTTCCGGCTCGCGTTCTATTTTCAAATCGGTCGAGAGGACGCGTTCGTTTTTCGAAAAGCTTCGTTTTTTCCGCGGCCACCTGCCTCCTCAGTTTTATTACATTGCACCGCTCGCGCTCGAGCGATGTCTAAAAATTTCTTTAGTCTTTTTATTGCTTTATGTTAATTTAAAAGCTAATTATGCCTATGAAAATTTATAAGGTACGGAATTAATACACCGTCGGGGGTCGTATTTATGACGGGCCGGAGGTAAAAAATGTTTATTTTTTTAAATTTGCCTATTTTGAGTTTTCGGACGGGCGACAGTTGTGCCCCGCGCGACTCTGAATGTATTCCCTTTTGTCTCTGCTGCATGTTTTTTGTTACCATAAATTAATTTTATTGTTTTGTTTGTTGTCTATTGCGTCCGCACATGACATAGATCATCTTGCAACCTATTGTGTTATAGTTTTAATTTTTGTACGACCAGTAATAATTTTATATTTAAACATATTGTCTGGATTGAATTGTCTTTTTTCTTGTAGACAATAATTAATTGTTGCAAGTTTCTTCAGTAATATAAACATTGAGTATTATAAATGCATTAATATTTATTAGTTTACATAAGTCAGTCAGTGAACTTGACAACTGTGTCAATTGCAACGATGTAGGAAACTGATAAGTTAATAAAACAACTAATTAACATCGACGAGGGAAACGATAACTGCTGTTTGTTTTGGAGCTCGCAAGGTGTCAGTTTTGTCCTGCAGGTGTCGCTGCCGCATCGTAAACTTTGTATCAGTGGCCAGTGTGACCGTGCCCTTAACATAACATTTATTTACACTATAGATTGTAGCAACTATAAACTTTTGTTAGCTTCGCATTTTTCACCTTGCACCTCAACTTTTTATGTCTTTCTCTAGAATTAATATAGGCAAGGAAGAAGGAAGTTAATTTCGCACATCCAAAGTAATTAAGTTACAGCACAATGTTAAATAGCGTGTAAGTGTAGAGGGCACTGACCTCTATGAAGATCAGAACTAGGTAGCTACTGGAGAGTAACACGTGTGGTTGTTGTGTGTGTGCAGGTGCACGAGCTGTGCGACAACTTCTGCCACCGCTACATCAGCTGCCTAAAGGGCAAGATGCCAATCGACCTGGTGATCGACGAGCGGGAGTCCGCGCGGCCGCCGGACGCGAACGGCGAGCGCTCCGCCGCGGACAGCGGACACGACGGCGCCTCCACACCCGACGTCGTGAGTACCCCCTACTCTAAGGCCCACCTGATTCAGAGGCGCGATCCCCAGCTAGCACCCAGCTCCACCACGAGCTACCTCGTGCACCCCTGCTCTTAGTTTGGCCATTGCAAAAACGAAGTACGTAAAGGGGGTGCTCGCAAAATAGTTCTTATATTCCGCCTCCCTTGCTTTGTAACGCGGCGTCCGCCCTCTGGCGGGCGTCGCGACGTCTCCTCCGAGGGCCCGCGGGCCCCAGGAAGCGGCGTTAGCTTAAGTTCCTTAGAACAAATCTTCGTTTTTGCAATTGGCCAACCTCTTAACACTGTACGAATCTTTCGATTTGACATTGAATATCTATTTGAGTTTCAAAATTACCATATCAGACACGATACAGTGAAGGGGTGTCTCAGGGTGCGACCACACCGACATGCGACGTTTAGTCCAGCGCGGCTTCAGGCCGATGCTCTATTATTGGAACACGAAACATTTGCGCCGATGTTCGAAATTTGTTTGCGGAATTATTGTATACGATTAAAAAATACGTAAAACGTTGAATGTAATATGTGTATACTAATTGTAATTATAAGTACCACTACAATACTAACTCCTCTCAGCGACAAATACACTGAGCTTAGTTTAAAACTTAATTAGGTATATTGGGAAACTATTGGAAAACGATGTATACGTAAAAGATACAATTTTAACTTGCCTAAGTGAGATGATAAGGATTTTACTTAAGATTTTTAAATTATTGTCATTGATTTAAAGGTGGTAGATGCTAGAGCGTTATTCTTTCGCCTAGTTAAATATTATACGTAAATAGTTGATATTCGCCGATTCATTTACCGACTGACGGTTAGATGGCAGTTAACTAATTAGTTAGTTGAAACTAAAATACGTACGCAGTATACGTTAGTTGTAATTAAGTGCCGCGGCGGACGACGTCGCGGCACGTTATATGTATGTGCATTATATTATTAGAGAACTAGATGCTTTTACAGATAAAATTATACATAGTGTTCGAGCTATTTCCCTCTCTGCGGCTAACGAAAAGGTTTTCTATTGTTTAGGCTGGGTTGTTGTATTTTTGTATCGCACGATCTCGATCCGGTTCGAGTGATATTTCTATTGGTACTGCATTCATCTGTGTGAGGTAACGCTGCACTCGTTGGCACTGACATCTGTCCGGCGGTGCAGCGGTGTCCGGCGCGAGGGAGCAGAGCGCCGCTAGCGCCGCCACGGCCCTCGCGTCTCTCACTCTGTTTGTTTAGTATATTAGGCATATTTTTGGGCGTTGAGACTGAATTGTTTTGTTTGTGTTATATATTATTTCTCGCATTGTTAACATGGAAGCCATACTTATTAACCTTATGTTTGCCACGTGGGCCGGCCCGGCGCGCCCGGGACGTCTCGCTATAATATATTAGTTACATTTTGTCTGTATATGAGTTTTTAACAATAAATTTTTGTCTAGTTGGTTCTTATCTAAGTTAGGGTAGTGGCGGTATGTTCTAATGATGTTCGTAAACTTATTCTTTCATAAATCTAACTGATAAATGTATTATAAATATACTATTTGGTGTACGTGTCCATCTTGTATGTCGATGTGATTTTGATTTATTAATTTTATATTTTTATTTTACTCTAAACGGATTAAACAATAAAATGTTCTGTTTGAAATAATAATGCAGTTTGTTTTAATACAAGTACGACAATACTCTTACATACACACACTCCTCTTAGCCAATAAGGAAATTATCTTCATTACAACTAACAACTTAAAGCAGGACAACCAGGAAGCAGGTATGAAAAGAGATTACTTAAGAAATTGTACTGAAAATTACTGAAGATCATCGACAAGTTAAGTGAAAATCTGAAAATGTCTGAACTTGAATAGAGTATATTCTTTTACGAGGGAGTTTTATTCCATAAAGCCTGCGAGTCCCGGCGGCCGCGGGGAGCGCGCAAATTGTTTCTTTACGACGCCCCGCGCGCTAATCTTTTGTACCTCATGGAACTCTCACGTCTCGTAAAAACCACGGGAAAATCTTTTCGAGAGCTTTTTCGTTACGATACAAAATTGTCAATATTTATATTTTATGCTACACCGTTGCCGGTTGATCGGCTCCGTGCGGTGGCGCCACAGTAGCGGCGCAGTGACAACACCGCGACTAATTCAGGCTTAATAGAATTTCACAGACATCTTTATCGTCCACTGCTATCATTATTGCCTATTAAGACCTCTATTTTATAAAAAGTTTAAATTATAATAGATTAAAACATCAAGAAGTAACATCAGCAAAGTGATAAAGTTAATAAACCTATAAGATTCTTAATTTTAACTGTTTTATTTTATGATCTGTAGAGATAATGCTTCAGTTATAGTTGACATAGTATAGACGAGTTATTTTTTTATCTGTGGAGTGCAATAACAGTAAACGGCGTGTCAGCAATCGACGCGCAATGAATAATGTAGGAGACGACGCATGACCTGCCCCCCACGCCCCGCGCACAGCACCCGCACCCCTCTCAGAGCTGAGCCATAAGAGAAATAATAAAATAAGGGGACAAAGTCGGGATTTGGCGTCGTGTTAGTCGGCAATTCGTCACGGGCTGAGCTGTCCTGCCTGCACTGGGAGCCTCCTGCAGGATTACCACACAGTTTTTTCATCATTCGCCCTCCATGCGTCCGTTATGAATCTATTGAATTCGTTCCACAGTATGCCAGAGCCGATACAGTTTCACGCAACAAATATACATACATATAATATGAAATTATTTATTACTATACCTATATCTGATACTTCTGTTTTGCGATAGTAAACAGTATCGATATAATTTGTGACGGTTATCAGTTAAAGGCAGAATACAGTCAGATTAATATTGGTTTATCGTCTTTAGTACATAACAAATTTCGTAAAAAAAGGCATATCCTGAAGCGGGCTAATTGTAATGTGCCGCACGCGGTCGCCTTGTTCGTCAATCTCAGCTCCCGACTGCTTTATTACATTGTAAATTCTTGTTAACCTCCTCCATTTTACATAGGACCGTAGGTGAAGTCTAGATCCTTCCATAAATCTTTCTAATTAATTCGCCTGCAAATAGCCGTGCAATTTAAACGCGCAGCGATTGTAACTCGTTGCTTTATTTGTGTGTGCCCGCCCCGCCGCCCTGCCGCGCCGCTGCGTGTCACCGAAGCTTCACATGTCACACACACCATTTTGTTATTCGCTGCAAGTTCACTCCATATGAAGATATTTAATTCAACTATACTACAAATATGATCATGCAATCGTAGTGGTTCACACTAAAGAGCAGAAGCTCACAGCTTCGTCAATTTCCTTGCAACTATTAATATCTCAAGTCGTCAGCGCTATAACCTGACCACTCTCATAAACGCCGCGACCTGGAAGCCGCGTCGGGATCTAAACATGTCAATTTTGGCGCCAAAATGGCAAAGAGACGCCGCGTGGCGGTCGTAAACCGTCACTTTCAAACTGACCGGCAACCATTGGGCGCGACGCGTCCAATCTGCGGCCGCGGACAAATTTTACGAGCTCGCATTGGCCGCTGCGAGGTTACTTATTTACGACACTCCTAAGCTTTAGTCGCAAAATTTCTATTAATAAATTAGTCGTAAATGCCGTGTAATTTATTATCATGGCTTTCTTGGTAATTATTTCCTTTATAAGAACAACATCGGTGCTTGCTCGCGTCGCGTCGCGTCGCGTGCGCTTCGCTTTTATTATTTGGGTTTCCACACGACCGCACAATTTCCCTGCTGTGATTGCAATTTTTACTTTGTTATTACCACGAGTTATAGCTAAAATACACGTTTAACATACTTCATGCCGTTACACAAATGTTCATAAAATTTACTACGTCATATAATTATCTTAAACTTTTAATTATCACTTCATCTTAAGGATATTGTCAAAAGAAAAATGCTGCACGGAGTCAAGGCTCGCGCCCCACTTGCCTTTTATCCGGCTAAGCATTTGATTGCTGTCATTTGAGTTGCGTTTCATTTTTTTACACCGTATACTTTACAAAGGGCACGAATTAAGGTAAGCAGCGTAATAATAGGTTCCAACGCTCTGGGAGGTTCAACTGCGGGACGCCAATGTCTTCATTCGCTTCGGGATAGATTGTTTTGCGATTAATCATCAGTGCTGTCATGGACGCAGGAGGTCAGGTAGTGATGGAGGAAGTACCAGTAGATTGAAGGATATCAATCAAATACTGGTTGAAGATTATGATCAGTTTCAATGATAGACTTGCATTAGCAACTAGCCAAATAGCAATAAACAATTTTTATAAGATGGAAGGATTGGTTGCGGGTATGTCTAAAAAGGGTTTAGATTTGACAACTGATAGAGATGTAAGGAAGAGTAGATAATACAACGCCTAACTTAGGGAAAAGGTTAGAATGATGATGATGAAGTTCATAAAGTCTTGATTTATGAAAAAGTAACGTTAGGCGTTTAAACTTTTTTGTAATAATTTCTTAAGAAATTTCTGATAATATTGAGTCATAATGTCGATAATTGAACAACGGTGGAAGCATTGAGTCTGCACTTGGGGATTTTCCGCAAGACAATAATCTCTCGCAAGACTTTCAATATGAATCACATCACAATCTTATCATATTTCTGGGAAATATTCCGATTTTTTTCACAACACAAGGTTAGGCAGCTTTTGTAGTTTCATGCGTGGTTCATCATCATATATTGAACTGCATCATTTATTCCTCATACTTTAAAAGAAATCAAATCAAATACCATGTAATAGTTAAATATCGAGTCCGTCCACGTATCGAGGGATGTGCCGTGTACCGTGACATATAGTGGGGCGCCTCCTGTTCGCTATCCGGAAATTGAAAGGAAAAGAACCCGCAGAAAAACTGCAATATTTCCTTGTGGCCTGGCTCATTGTATTCCTGTGACGTCTGCGGGTGGTGTAGGGGGCACGGTGCGCCCCGCAGTGCCATTTGCCGAGGACCAGGAAGATTTCCTCCC